GCTTATTACCCATAGTAGCAATAATAAAGAGAATTGGCATATGTAAATTAAGGTAGGTTGGTAGACTTAGTGGTAGGAAGATGTGGGAATTTTTGCTCTGTTTTCACTGTGAGGCAATGTTATCAACTGAGTATTAGATGATGGTAGTTGGGGGCAGTAAATGAGGTAAATTAGTAAATTAGGATATTTGAGGAAAAAGGAAAAATCATCAAAGTTTAGAAAATGAAAGACTAGGGAAATGTAGTATAGCTGGCAGTGCAGAAATCCCACTTGAGATTAGTGGAGAAGAATTTAAGAGACCTGTTAGCAAATGTATCAGTTAGGACAAACTAGCCTTTCCTGTAGCAACAAATAACTCCTAAGTCTGAGTGACTGAACATGACAAACATCTATTTCTTGCTCATATAGTATGTCCAACATAGGTTAGTAAGGATGCTCTTCCTAGTTTCTCAGAAACCCAGGTGTCAAGGACTATAAAGGGACTGAGACTTTACCCTACTTGAAAGCATAGAAATGCTGGTGTATTTCCTTAGTCATAGCAGTGCAGTAGCCAGTTTCAGCATTTGTGTCAGTTCTCCAAGCCCCAGTTCCACAGGGAGATGGGAACAGTGCCAAGTGATACCTACACCAAGTGGGTTGTGTTACAGAAAAATCCTGCACTTAGGGAACCCAGATCTTTTGTAATGGGCAGTAAGCATGCCTTACTTTTGCTATCTTTCTAGGCTGTAAGCAAAAGTGCTCTTTGCTCCAGAGGAAGACATCATCTCTGTCTTCCTAGATTTTTCACTATATAAACATCCTTAAAAAGACAGTTAACAAAGCCAATCAATACTTTTGCTTGTAATATGTGCAGAAATGTGAGAAACCCATGGAGAATTGTCTCCTAATACCAAGTTGCTGGAGGTTCCAACATCCTGTGGCCCCTCCATTTAAACATATAGCTTCCAGGGTTGTTAAGACAGGGGAAGAGAGGCCTGGAGGGTGACACAGGGGCTTTTCACTGACTCAGCCCCAAAGTGACATATTATCACTTCTGCCTTCAGTCTATTGGGCAGACCTCACCTAACTGCATCTAGGCTGGGATGTGTGCTTATCCATATGCTTAGGTAGACAAGAAGAACCAAATATTGATGAACACTAGCAATGTCTACCAAAGCATGGTTATATATTTTTGTCTAGTACCATTTAGCTGTTTAGATGCATAATTGAAGCAAATAGCATTTGGGTTTAATCTCAGAATCGGGATTCTGACCAACTTGTATAATGGGGGAAAAGAGTGCTGAGGGAGGTAGGTGTATTTGCATAGAAATGATTTCATAGATGGACCATGTGCTATGGTCTGAATGTGTTCCCCAAAATTGATGTGTTGAAACTTGATGGCTAATGTGATAGTATTAAGAAGTGTGGCCTTTAGGAGGTAATTGAGTGAGTTACGAGGGCTCTAGCCCCATGAATGGGATTAGGTGCCCTTATAAACGGGTTTGATGGAGGGAGTTTGCCCATTTTCACCCGTTGCCTTCTACCATGTGAGAACATGGCATTTCTTTCCTCTGGAGGATGCAGCAGCAAGGTGCCATCTTGGAAGCAAAGAGAGGCCCTGACCAGATAACTGAACCTGCTGGTGTTAGGGACCGACCTTCCACAGCCCCACCGGACAGAAAAGCAGAGACATCGAGGATGCAATCACACAAGAGAAGGTTTATTTTCTGGCTAGCCAGGGTCCAAGCCCCAGAGCACCAACGCAGTGGCCACTCTCACAGGCAAGGACCCCGACCGGAACAACAGCATGCCTTTTATCCCCATGGTGCACAAGCTGTGCACAAGCCGACTACAAGTGGATCATGCATTGACCTTTAAAATGATTGGTTGCCCACTATTGCCTTTTGAAATAATTGGCGGGTTGGTTGCCCTCTATTGCCTGTTTAGATCATCTTGTCTGCAGCTATAAAACGTCATTCTGGCTTGATTGGTTATTCATTAAATCTATAGATCAATTTGCAAGAATTGACATCTTTATGAAGTTGAGTCTTCCAACCCATGGACTTGATATAGCTTTCCATTTTTTCTTTTTTTTATGTCTTGTTTATTTTATCAACATTTTGTATATCTTTGGTATAGAGAAACTGTATGTTTTGTTGGATTTATAAGCAAGTGTTTTGATTTTTTAATGGATTGCAAATGGTGTATTTTTATTCGTTTCCATTGTTGATTGCCAGTATATCAAATATGTTATCTTTTTTGTGTTGATCTTATATCCTGCAACTTTGTTAAACTCAGTTACTAGTTCTAGCTGTTTTGTACATTCCTTTAGATTTTGAATGTGGACAATCAAGTTGTCTGCAACTAGACTAGAGACAGTTTAATTTCTTTCCAATTTTTTGTGTCTTTTTGTGTCCTTTTACCATTTTATTGCACTAGCTAGGACTTTCAGCACAATATTTAAAAGGAATAGTGAGAGTGGAAATTTTCCCCCTGATCTTTGGGATAAAGAAAGTGTTTAGACTTTTATGATTAAGTGTGATGTTAGATGTCAGTTTTTTGTGGATGCCTCTTATCAGGTCAAAGAAGTTTCCTACTATTCCCAGTTTGCTAGAGGATATTTTTTTTTTATCATGAATGGATGTAGACTTTGAAAAAACTGCTTTTTCTTTATCAATTGATATCATCTATATTTTTTTCTTAGGCTATTCATATGGTAGATTACATGATTGATTTTCAAATTTGAACCAGTCTTGTATTTCAGGATAAGGCCCACTTATTGATAGTGTATTATACTTTTTAATATATCACTGAATTTAATTTGATAATTTTTTGAGAGTTTTGTATACTATGTTCATGAGGATATTGGTTTGTAATTTTCTGTTCTTATAATGTCTTGTCTGTTTTAAATCAGGGAAAGGTTGGTGTCATAAATGATTGGGAAGTGTTTCCCTTCTATTTTCTAAAAGAGATTGTGTAGACTGGTGTTATTCTTTAACTGTTTGAGAATTTACCAATGAGCATCTGATCATGGAGATTTCTCTTTTAGAATATATTAAAATACAGATTCAATTCCTATAATAGTTGTAGGTTAATCAGGTATTCTATATAATCTCAAATCAATTTGGTAGTTGCGGTTTTCAAGAATTGTTGAATCTAAGTTGTTCAATTTAGTTGTTTCATCTAAGTTGTCAATTTATGTGAGTGGAGTTTCTTTTTTTTTTTTTTTTTTGAGACAGAGTCTCCTTTGTTGCCAGGCTAGAGTGTGAGTGCCGTGCGTCAGCCTAGCTCACAGCAACCTCAAACTCTGGGCTCGAGTGATCCTTCTGCCTCAGCCTCCCAAGTAGCTGGGACTACAGGCATGCGCCACCATGCCCGGCTAATTTTATATATATATATATCAGTTGGCAATTGATTTCTTTCTATTATGATAGAGACGGGGTCTCGCTCTTGTCAGCTGGTTTTCGAACTCCCGACTCTGAGCATTCACCCGCCTCGCCTGCCCAAGAGCTAGATTACTAGGGTTTGGCACGCGCGGCCTGGAGTTGTCTTAATATTCCTTGTCATCTTTAATTGTTGTGGGAGTACACTTAGATGTCAATAATGTCAAGTGATAGGAGAAAAATACAGCAGGCTTAGGGGTAGAGAGTTACAGGAGAAGGGACTTGTATGTTTTGGTATGAGTTTTCAGAGACTGGTTATTGTTTGAGCAGGGCCTCAGTGAAATGAGGAGGGAGTGCTCCATGCCTTGTTTTTCTATTATTATGTTCAGCAAGCGTCCCCTCTTGTTCTGCCCCCTTCCTCATACTTCCCACCTCTGAGATTTGGCATTTTTGAGCCCTAAATGTTTATGAAATGATACTACTTCTGTAAACTCATTCTGTTGCTGAATTTTGACCTTGATTTATCAATTACTACTGAAAAAAAAGTACTGATAGTAATTACTCCTATAAATCTGATTTAGCTAAGCTGAAATTGTATTGTTAGTTATCTGGTCTTTTCATACTCGTCACTAGCTGGAGATAGGTAGTGGTCCTGGTGCTGGTGAATGTGCTGGTAACTGTCAGTTTCTGGAGTTTGGAAAGGGAGACGTCTTTATTTGTATGATTGCCAATTTTGTTTATGTAATACTTCCACTGTGGCTATTCAAACTACAATGTGATGTCATTCAACACAGATGGTAGATACATGCAAGTCAAGCTTTTGTTAGCCTTATAGGAGCTGACTTGTGCACACATTGAAGATAGGTTTTATAATCTCCATTTTGTAGGCTGGATACTAAATTCAGAATTGTTACCAGGTTATACAATTAGTAAATTGTAGTCAAGTCATTTAAAATCTTGAGCTCCTGATATTCTGATGTAATTGATTAGGGTTGAGAACTGGCATGGATTTTTTAAAGGTTTCAGTTGATTTCATTGTAAAGCCAGAGCTAAGAACTATTGCCTTAATAATCAAGAATCTTTTATGGTGCTTCCCTGTTGTCTTAGAAACAGCCTCAAAATTCATTTTCCTTTTAGATTGGAGGAAAGGGCAAGATATTCCACTTCAGGGACAGAATAAAATCCATGTGTCATATTTTAGGATATGGTAAGGTCTTAACTGCCTTGAGACATATCAAAGAAGGATAAGGACTGAAAATAGAACCTGCCTCTAATTGGATTAATACATGGGGAAGAAGCTGGGCCAGGGCGTATGAGAACCAGGAGAGGAGCTGAGAAAAGTCTGGTCTACCTGACAGAATGCATTAGCCAAAGCATATGACAGAGGGTTGATTGGTTCTCATTTCAGCAGTCCACTCCATGCTCACACCTGGACATGAGGGGTATGAAAGCTTCAGGTTTAGTTTCAGGCTGTCTGGAACAATTCTATTACTTACTATCTTTAAGACATAAACAAGTGGTTCAACTTTTTAAAGGTCTCAGTTTCTTCATCTATTAAGATGGGATGATAATGTACTCAGGAGGCTGAGGCAGCAGGATTGCTTGAGCCCAGGAGTTTGAGGTTGCTGTGAGCTAGGCTGACGCCATGGCACTCACTATAGCCTGGGCAACAAAAGTGAGACTCTGTCTGAAAAAAAAAAAGAATGCAGAAGAGTTATAGGGCCTGAGGTTTGAGAGATGAGTAGGGCCAAATCATATAGGGCAGTATCTTTTTATGTACTGACATACTTAGAATTAATTTTCTGGTTGAAAACTAATCTGTTATTTGAAACAGAGTGACAATGAAAACTATCATCCACAGTTATACCTTATAGGTTCTTATCTAGCCCAAGCTCTCAGGGAAGTTAAGGAAATGAAATCCAGCTAAGGCTAAGATTTACAAAGTGCACTGCTTTGCAGTTTTTGTCTCATCTGCCAGAGTAGAGTAAGTACTATACACTTTTATAAGGATATATAGCATAAAATGATGATGCATTTCCTCCTGTCATTGATAAGAGAATTTTAACAAAATTAAATTTCTTGGTTTAGAATTTGAAAGCAATTTGTATGCCATGAATTACTTGGATAAACAATTCAGATCTTTCTGTACTTGGCTGTATGAGTTTTATTGGTCTGGTGCTGTTTCCACTGTTATTTTTCAATTTTTAGAATTTTAGTTGTAAACATACTATATACAGATATAATTTTGTCTTCTTTCTGTTTGCATGTTATACTTTTCATATTAGTACATAGTCTGATTTCTGAATATTAAATTCAATGTATTTGCTATTGTTTTGATCATATCTCTAATACAAACATTATACCCATTTTGCTTTTTTCAAAGGAAATTTGAAATTACAGATGTTCTCAATACAATAAATTACATTTTGCCATTTTTTGACTTTTTATTGTTTTGAATTTAATGTTTCAAATTTGGTGCACAGTAATTTTAAAGGAAAAACCGACAAGTTTAAAACATTGATATTATATAATTTATATTAAAATGATACGCGTTTTATAAATTGGTAAGAATACAAAATAAATGAAAACCAGATTGCCTCTTATTTGAAGTTTATTTGGGGGGGCAGAATTTGTTTGCTCCTATATATTTCATTTTTTAAAAGAATCAGGCAAGAAAGATTATAATCGCGTGATTATCAAATGAGAAATTTAGTCTTATTTTATCCAAAAGAAAATTCTAGAAGCCCATTCAGAAATGATTTAATATTGAAGTTCCAATAGTGTTGGTTATAAATCCAATCTCGACATCTCTCAAAATTGTACAAAGAAGTGGTGGAGCTGGGAATTTATTAGGGCTTGTAGATTTCTCAGGCTGTTTATTTCGGTACAACCAAACCTTAGCACAGCGCAGGCCACACCTGAAGGCGGATTCTCCTCGGCCAGCTAACTGCCCCAGAGAGCAGACTCAATCCTGCGGTCCCGCCGGGGCCCACCTGCCCGCGTCCAGCCCCGAGCCCTGGGTCTGGGTCAGGGTCTAGAGTCCTGCCCGGCTCTCTGGGCCCGCGGGGGCGACCATGGACACTGCTGGGCGCGCTCCGGGCCACGGAGCCGCGGCAAGGAGACTGCCGATTGGGGCTGCTGCAGCCGCGAAGGGGCTTAAGGAAGACCTGAGGGGTGTGGCCGCCCGGCCGTGGAGGGATTTATCCCGGGCCCCAAAGCAGGAGGGGCATGGAGAAGAAGAGCCTGCCGCTGACGGACGCGAGTTCCGTGAGTCCCAGGACGAGGTCTCAGAAAATGGGCGGCGTCGCCCTCCTGTTGGGTGGTAGGGCGAGCTGGGTTGAAGGGACTTGAGAGGGTACCCGATGCAGCACGTTGGGACACTGCGGGAAGGAAATTGGTGCCACGACTCCTGCTCTGGGGACCCCAAGTCCATCTTCCACCACGTCACTTTAGTTTTCAGCTTTGGAATCCACCTCCACCCAAGCTTTGGTTCACATTCCCCACCCTGTACTGTGAATGGAAGGAAAGTATTATTACTCTGCCAGATTAAGGAGGAGGCTTTTAAAAGAAATGATTAAGCCCTTTTGTAAATAAGGAAAGTTTCATGTGCTGTTATCTCTTATGTCGTGACTCATGCACTGATTTATTGTCTGACTTTAAATAAGTCACTTAATCTTTCTGCATTTAAGTTTTTAAAGCATGGAGTGGATCATCTGTGCCTTGGGAATAATTTGTAACATAAACTGAGGCAGCTGCTGAAGAGTTCAAAGGTTAAGAAAAATTCAACTCTGTTAACATGGTACACCATCCAAGCCCACTGGCTGGGATGTCCCCATTTCCTAAATACCAGCATTAGGAGCTGTACACCTAGTAAGTTCCTTACTATAAAGTGCAATTTAGTTCGTTCATACCAGAAATATTTTCAAGGGCTTACTATTTTCCAGACATGTTCTAGAAGTGGGGATGCAGAGAACAAGACAATCCCCATTCAGGTGGAGTTTACATTCTGTTGTGGTGGAAAGTTGCTAGACAATAAAACAAAAAAGCAAATAAATGAATAAGATAATTTAATGGAATGGTGTTTGTGAAAGCCATGAGTTCAGGGGGAAAAGCATGACAAGAAAGAGTAATAGTAAATGCAAGGCAGGGGTGAAATTGATATATTCTAGAAAGAGGAAGATGATCTGCCTGGCTAGGATCCTAGAGAAGGGAGGAGCAAATGAGGTTGGGGAGGTATGCAGGGCCTTGATGCCCTAAAAAGAAGTTTAAACTGGGTATTATCGGGAATTTTCTTTTTTTAATTTTAGCCATTCAAATAGGTGTATTTTGGTATCTCATTGTAGTTTTAATTTAAATTTCTTTAATGGCTAATGATGCCATCTGTATCCCCTTTGGTTCCTCTTCGTTCCATTAAAATCTGCTATGGTTTGAATGTGTCCCCCAAATTTCATGTATTGAAAACTTAATCCCCAAATTCATATGTTAATTGGAGGGCCTTTGGGAGGTAATTAGGATTAGATAAAGTCATCAGGGTGACACCCCCATGATGGGACTGGTAGCTTTGTAAAAAGATAGAGACCTGTCTGCTGGTTTTGGATTACTGGAAATTTTTTTTTTAAAAAGAAAAAGTAATATAATGAAAATGTAAATTTTTAATAAAAAAAGAGACCTGAACTGACACTTGCAAGTGTTCTTGCCCTTTTCCATGTGATGCCCTTCGCCATGTGTTGACACAGCAAGAAGGCCCTAACTAGATGCCAGTGCCATGTTCTTTGACTTCCCAGCCTCCAGAACTGTGAGCTAAATAAACTTCTGTTTATAATATACCCAGTCTGTGGCATTTCTGTTACAGCAATAGAAAATAAACTAAAACAAAATCTTTTCTCTATTTTTAAGTTGGATTATTTTCTTACTGTTGAGTTTTAAGAGTTCTTTAAATGGATATAGCTTGTTTGTCAGATATGTAATTTTCAAATATATCCCCCCAGTCTGTTGCTTGTCTTTTTATTCTCTTAATAGTGCTTTTCATCAGGCAAAACTTTTACATTTTGATGAAGTCTACGTTATCAATTTTTTCTTTTATGGTTATGCTCTTGGTGGCATGTGTGGGAACTCTTTGCCTAAACCCAGGCTATGAAGGTTTTCTCCTGTGTTTTCTTCTAAAAGTTTTATAGTTTTATGCTTTACATTTATATCTATGATTCACTGTGAGTTAATTTTTACATAAGATGTAAAGTTTATATCATGATTTGTATTTTTTTCATGTAGATGATCCAATTGTTCAAATACCATTAGTTGAAATGATTATCCCTTCTCCATTGTCAAGGCCTTTAAAACTTTGTTAAAAATAAATTGGATGTATTTGTGTGGGTTTATTTCTAGACTGTATATTTTATTCCATTGATCTATGTGTCTCTTTGCCAATACCATGCTGTATTGATTAGTGTAGATTTATAATTAAATTAAGTAGTATGACTTCTCTAATTTTATTCTTATTTTTTCAAAATTGTTTTGGCTATTTTTGTTTCTTTGTCTCTCCATAAAATTTTAGAATCGGCCAAGTCTGGGTTGAAGACTCAACTTCATAAAGATGTCAATTCTCTGCAAATTGATCTATAGATTTAATGCAATACCAATCAAAATGCCAGAATGACGTTTTATAGCTGCAGACAAGATGATTCTAAATTTTTTTTTTTTTTTGAGACAGAGTCTCGCTTGTTGCCAGGCTAGAGTGAGTGCCATGGCGTCAGCCTAGCTCACAGCAACCTCAAACCCTGGGCTCAAGCAATCCTCCTGCCTCAGCCTCCTGAGTAGCTGGGACTACAGGCATGTGCCACCATACCGGCTAATTTTTTGTATATATATTAGTTGGCCATTAATTTATTTCTATTTATAGTAGAGACGGGGTCTCGCTCTTGCTCAGGGCAGTTTGAACTCCTGACCTGAGCAATCCGCCCACCTCGGCCTCCCAGAGTGCTAGGATTACAGGCGTGAGCCACCGCGCCC